GCCCGAAACGTCAGCCTTCCTGCTCCTCTGATGCTGCTTGGCCTGCTGTGTTCATCCAGCTCTACACCTTGTTATCTCAGATTCTCCAGCATCTGCAGTTCCTACTATCTCTAATAATCTGCCTTCCTGTTTTTGCTCCCAAAGTGGAGAAAGTCATATTTATTCACATTAAACTGCATCTGCCATACATTTATCCACTCACTCAGCCTGTCCAAATCACACTGAAGCATCTCTGCATCCTCCTTATAGCTCATCCTCCCACCCAACTTTGTGTCTTCTGTAAACTTGGAGATATTACAGTCAGTTTCCTTATCTGACTGATTAATGTTTTTGTGAATAGCTAGGGTCCTAGCACTAATCGCTATAGTATCCCCCTAGTCATTCATTACTTTTCTTTCTGTCTGGTCTGCTAATCAAGTTTGTATCTATCTCAATATACTACCCCCAGTCCCATGCACTTTAATTTTACACATTAATCTCTAACATGGGACTTTTGTTGAAAGTCTTCTGAAAGCCCAAATAAACCACATCCATGGGCTTTCCCTCATCAATGCTGCTAGTTATATCCTTGAAGAATTCCAGTTGATTTGTCAAGCATGATTTCCCTTTTGTAAAGCCAGGCTCAGTGTATCCGATCCTGCCACTGTTTTGTGACTCATGTGCCCTTTGGAAACCTCTGAGTAACTGGAGGTCTCCCACTGAGACTATGAGCCTTTGTCCTCCGTATATCTGAGGTAGTTCCGCATCTGCAGACTGATCATCTTTATCTTCTCTTGTTTATCAAGCAGTGCGTCCTGTGTTTTGGGGAATTGAGCCTTATTGTATCATTCGCACTTGCCTTACAAACGTGAGCTTTGCTGGAGATGGTAACCCCATGGCTTTGACTGGATTTTACGGGTTCATTTGGGAAAGTGGAAAAAGCTGCTAATGATTTCACTTTGTCCTCAGTGTGTTCCATTCACAGTGTGAAGCCTGTTCATCCTCTCGCTCTGAACTTGGTGTAGCAGCCTATGTTCACACCGGTCTCTGGCGTAGTCCTTGCTGTTGTGACTGGCCTGCTGCACCTGTCCTCTGCTCGGTTATTCTCTGTTGGAGCCTCTGGCTGTCTCAGTGGAGTCAGGGTCCTTACAGAGGTGGGTCCACTGTCATTCTGTGCTGTCATGCCATGCCCAGATCTTGATATGCATGACTGCTTCATGGTGGGTACAATGTGCCACTGCTTTTTGTGCCGTGGTTATGGTACAAATACTGTTTGCTGCCCACAGTGTTTGCAGGTGCTACTATGCAGCTACATTGGCTTCATATTTGCTTCAAATCAATGCTGTGGGCTTCTTTTTTTTCACCAAAAGTACTGGAATGCATCAATGGATGTTGAATCAATCACCAACTCCATTTTCCACACTAAGAATCCCAGTCTCTGAAAAATCACACTTATTGCCTTGTTACAGCATCTACTGAGAAAGTGGCCGTGTGATTCATGTGACCTCTAGAACATCAATACTAAGCAACAAATTTAGTATGTACTCTCACCTGAAGCTGATCTTCAAGTAGTTTTCATATCTTTGCAGGACCTTTCTGGTCCCCTTCAGATAAGTCAGAAATATTGATTCACTGCAGCTCTTCTTTCCCAATTTATATCAATACTTGACCAGTTTGTTTATCCTTATCTGTTACTATTTAATCTATGAAGCATTGATGCTGTCTTTATTTAGAGTTTAACCTCAGCCAGGACATCAATAACCTTCCAGTCCATGCTTGGGGATTTGGTATCTGTACTTCTGTTCTTCCTTGTCTTTTCCAGATGCTATTGATATGGAGAGATTTTCCATCATCATATCACAATGGGGACACTTTGTGTGTACCTTCAGCAATGTTTCTGCTCTGCAGCCTGCTTTTAGCTTTGTATTGACTCTTGATATTTTACGTTACACAGTCCCTGTTTACCTTCAGGGCTGTATTTAATAGAAATTTTCTACTGTTTGTTCTATATCCTGTTTTAAATCTTAGCAGGTCTGGCAGCATCTGTGAAGTTAAAAACAGAGTTAATGTTTCGGGTCCGGTGACCCTCCCTCAGAACTGGACCCTTCCTCCAGTTCTGAGGAAGGGTCACTGGACCCGAAACGTTAACTCTGTTTTTTCCTTCACAGATGCTGCCAGACCTGCTGAGCTTTTCTAGCAACTTTGTTTTTGTTCCTGATTTACAGCATCCGCAGTTCTTTTGGTTTTTATTCTGTTTTAAATCTTGTTCTGTTCACCCCACATGGTTCCCAATTGCAACTCGCCTGTCTTTCTCTGTTTGAAGTGCATTTTTGCTCTGTTCCATTTGGGGTTGAGTTCCAAAAATCCTTTCATTTTTATGTAATGCTGTCTCAAATCTGGGAAAAATGTTGTGCTTTCTTCACTTTTCCGTACTTTTTTTTAAGTTTTTGTTCAGTGGGAACTTTTGACTTTGGAATGCTTCTGAATCTTCTTGGCCATTTCTCCCCACAGTGTTCAAACTGTAGCACCAATGTCTTTGCTCTGTGTATTTTTTAAAAAATTAATAATCACTGCTGCCACCTTGTCATGATTCCTTCTGCTATCTAAATGCAACACCAGTGAGCTATGTAGATTCCGCTAACTTGACTCTCTCTAGTGGGTTTATTTATAGCTAAACTAATGCACACACTACATAGCAATCTCTAGACACACATCCTTGTCTGCAATGCAAAGAGACCAGAGCCTCTGGTTTTGTGATGACATCTTGGCCCTTGGCTTATTGGCATACTGATCTTTTAAAGCAATATTTGATTTATTGTAATCATGTGTACCTAAGTACAGTGAAAAACTTTGTTTGAGAGCAGTACAGGCAAATCATGGCCAACAATGACATACAGATCATAGGGAGCTTAGACAGAATGAGGCGTACAAAGTTACAACTGCGCAGGAGGTGAACCAAGCAGAATCAACATTAGATTTGAAGTTAGAGAGGTCTATTTGTCAGTCTAATAACAGCAGGGAAGAAGCTGTTCTCGAATCTGTTGGTGCGTGTATTCAAGCTTCTGTATCATTGCCCTTAAAGTGATATGACATGGTACACTGAATAGACTTGTTCTTTGCTCTCGCCGTTCTAAATAATTTTATAAATGATAGATTATGAAGTCACATGTGCAAATTCATCAGTGAATCAAAGATTGGAGGAATGGTGCTTTATAAATAATAAAAAGTTAAAAACAGTGGAGATCTGAAGAGACATTGTATCACAATACAGGGATCATTAAAGAACGCCACCAAAAATCAATCCCAAGCGTGAATAAAATACTGACTGTTACATCGAGACATCTGAAATACAAAGTGGTCAAAGTCAGGCTCCAGTCACACACAACCCTGGTTAGACCTGGAGTCACTAGCGGCAGGTCTGGGCACCACACATTAGGGAGGGCCCGTTGCCTTAGAAGGTGTGTAGTGTTTCTGAAATGATTAAAATCTAACAAAGAACTGCAGATGCTGGAGACCTGAAACAAAAAACAGAAATTGCTTTAGAAGCTCACCAGGTCTGGCAGCATCTGTGGAGAGAGAAAAACAGAGTTAATGCTTTGAGTCCAGAGACCCTTTTTCAGAATGGATAGTAGCTAGGAACAGGTGGTATATGTCTCTTCCAGGTATGTGCACCTTGAAGAGGTTCTACTCCACTCTGACAGGATTTCTGTTCTAATCTTTCTTCTTGTTCACTGCCATTAGTTTTAATGTCACTATATACCTCCTTTTAGCTGCTTTCAGTTCTGTTTTTACCAAAATGTTTCCTTGATTCCTCTTCAGTTCTGAAGAAGGGTCAGAATATTAACTCTGTTTCTCTCTCCCACAGGCACTGCCAGATCTACTGTGATCCTCCAGCATTTTCTGTTCTTGTTTGTTTCTGATACCTGGACTTGAAGAGTTAAATTAAAAGGAGAGATTGCATAGAACATAGAACATAGAACAGTACAGCACAGTACAGGCCCTTCGGCCCACGATGTTGTGCCGAACTTTTACCCTAATCCTAAGGTCTATCTAACCTCCACCCCTACCTTATACTATCATCCATATGCCAATCTAATAGCCACTTAAATGCCCCTAATGAGGCCGACTCCACTACCCTCTCCGGCAACGCATTCCACGCCCCTACCACTCTCTGAGTAAAGAACCTATCTCTGACGTCTCCCCTCTATCTACCTCCACTCACTTTAAAACTATGCCCCCTCGTAATAGCTACCTCCACCCTAGGAAAAAGTCTCTGGCTGTCCACTCTATGTATACCTCTGATCATTTTGTACACCTCTATCAAGTCAATGAACCAGTAGTATTTCCTGGAATTTAAAGGGTTAAGAGAGTGATTTAATAAAAGTTTGAATGATATCAAGGAGAACTGATAGAATAGACAAGCTGCTGGCTAGACCAGAAGAGCAGGGTAGAGCCTAAAAATTACCACTAGACTGTACCGGAGTTTCGTTAGGAACCACAAAGAATAAGAGACATTGGGGAAAATCTTCCACAAACGACAACTGGAACTAGAGCACGTGTTAGTTTTCAATCTGAATTTGAACGACATTTGCTATCCACAGCCACAAGGGGGTATGGAGCAAAAATAGGTGTTTGGGAATGTCACAAAAGAACCAACATCTCATTGAATGGTGGATATATTCAAAGGGATGAATGGCATCTTTACTGTCCTGAGGATGTGTAGCAAAAACGAGATCATGTTTTTCCTCTTCTATTTCAGAAGCTGACCTTTTTTGGTTCGACATTGATCAGTAACTGTCCTCCCCAGGGTCAGACGCTGGACATTCCTGGAGCTCATGCCCCTGCCATTGTCAGCAGGAATGGCCTGGTCGTCTTTGGGAATGATGGGAAAATGGTAATAATACTGTTCTTCAAACTCTGGATTCTGCATCATTGGAAAGCTTTCTGCAAAGTTTTCTGATTGTAACAGGCAGAGGAATAAATATGACCCAGTTCTGGTGTAATCTAATTGTTGCAGTAATCAGATGTACTTGTGAGTAATTGAGTGTAATTGGAGGAATTGAGTATCGTTATGAGTAATGGAGTGTAATAGTAACTAAGGGTGATTGTGAATACTTGAATGTGATTGTGAGTACTCGAGAGTGATTGAGTAATCAAGTGTGATTGTGAGTAATCGAGAGTGATGGCGAGTACTCAAGAGTGAGTGGGAGTATTCGAGTGTGTTTGTGAGTAATCGAGTGTGGTTGTGAATAATCAAGAGTGACGATGAGTAATTGAGTCACTGTGAGTAATTGAGAGTGACAGTGAGTAATCGAGTCACTGTGAGTAATTGAGAGTGACAGTGAGTAATCGAGTCACTGTGAGTAATTGAGAGTGACAGTGAGTAATCAAGTCACTGTGAGTAATTGAGAGTGACAGTGAGTAATGGAGAGTGACGGTGATGGATGATGGGATGCTGTTCCATTGCACAATGACCTTTACTCCCAGAACCTTCTTGGGGTGATGTTTCTCTGAAATATTTGGTTTCTTTGCAGCTTTTGGTGAAGAGTCTGCAGTTTGAAGACGGTAAAATGATCCCAGCCTCCAAATACTTTTCCTCTTCAGAAAGTTCATCCTTAGAGCTGACTGAGGAGGAGGAACAAATCAAGGAGCAACTCCGAGTAAGTGCTGAAGAAATGTTATGATCAGTCAGATATTGACCAAAGGGAATTCAGGGGAAAAGAATCACCCGAGGAACAGGGAGAGTGTGGGACTCTGTCCCGCAGGGAGCGGGGAGAGTGTGGGACTCCGTCCCGCAGGGAGCGGGGAGAGTGTGGGACTCCGTCCCGCAGGGAGCGGGGAGAGTGTGGGACTCCGTCCCGCAGGGAGC